CGGAAATATCAAAAACTTCGATAATAACCCATGTGCAACATTTGTGCAACACCCTTTCAATTTTGGTACTCTGGTAGTGTCATCCTGCCAGAATGTCCTATAACCTATGCCCTAAGTAAAAAGAAACATTTCTGGAACATGTAATGGCAGGCTGGCTGGCCGGGGGCTGGCTGCCTGATTGGCTGTCTCTATCTCCGTCTGTCTGTCTGTATATATATCTCTGTCTGTCTCTTCATCTCTATCTCACAGGAACACTTACGTAAATACAATTATACATAGTGTAAATTACCTAGGATAGCCCAAAAAATCCAGACAAAGTGCTGTACTGTGCTTGTAGATGGTGATTGTATGTAATATCAGTTGGCTCATGAGCAGCTCTCTGAGACAAGAGAGACAAGCAGACAGACAGAAAGAGACACACAGACAAACAGAAACACACACACACAGACAGAGAGCTAGACAGACAGACAGAAAGCTAGACAGACAGATAGATACAGAGAGCTAGACAGAAAGCTAGACAGACAGACAGAGAGCTAGACAGACAGACAGACATGTTTATGTGTAAGAGTGAAAACAGATAAAACGAAGGCAGTGTAGCTCATCAAATGACACCACAGTCATTAGTGGAGTGATAAAATAAGATAAGGCAACTCTCCTCAAATGTCACCACTGTCAGCAGAGGAGTGATAAGACAAGTGACACGTGTCTTACATCATGCTTCAAAGGAACTTATTATTTATTATTATTATTAATTATATACTCCCGTGTATCCAAAACATTGCTGGGACCTATAAATACTATGTACTATGTACTATTTCTAGACAATAGTATGTGATTAAGGTAGGTGAAAATGTTCACCTGTCACTGTGTTTGTGACTATTTGAGTACTATTTCATTACCTTAGTATCAGAACAAAGATTAACTATGAAATCACAAGAACTACTACAAATTGTAATTATCAGAACATAAAAATTATACAAATTAAAAAAAAATGAGAAAAAAGGTATATCGGCAACGCATCTGTAAGTGGCAGTGCTTCATGTTGCCGTCAGATGAGCGACAAGCACCAACTTTGCGGCCTTATATCTCTGTAGGTACTGACCCTAGAATTTTTTTTTTACATTAGTTTATTTATAAAAATGTCTTCATTAATTTTTTTTTTTTTTTTTTTTTTTTTTTTTCAAAATATTCGGAGCGCTGGGCAAGTGAACGTAGATCCACGTTTGGACAGTTAAGGGGTTAATAGTACACAAGGCTTTTCTTTACAATTCTCGGTATGAATTATTCATTACTTCTCCCTCTGTTTATGATGGCATCTAAAGGTAATTGTTAGAAACGATTAAACTCGGTGAACATGGTCGTATTTCGATGGTAATAATATGGCTGTAGGCTGCAGTGTATGTAGCTATACACCTGGGATGTAGTCCCACTGGGACTACAAATAAATACTACTCACCAACAAGAGTCTTCAATAAAGGTATGTAATGTTCATTTATCATTAAAATTAGTCATTTATATTTATTTCTCATTGTTTTCTGTATGTAAAACTATAGTTATTCTCTATAAAATGTATTTTTTGTTAATATTTTTGGGTGTCTGAAATGGATTAATTGGATTTACAGTATATTATTTCTTATGGGAAATATTACTTCGGTTTTTGGCCATTTCGGATTTAGGTCAACCTTTTGAAACGGATTAATTACGGAAACCGGGGTTCTACTGTACTATGCATATTTTCATCCTCCATGGGGAAGTGGAAAAGAATTCTTCCTCTGTAAGCCAAACGTGTCGTAAGAGGCGATTAAAATGCCAGGAGCAAGGGGCTAGTAACCCTTTTTCCTGTATACATTACTCAGTTTAAAAAGAAAGACTTTAGTTTTTCTTTTTAGGTCACCTTGCCTCAGTGGGATACGACCGGTGTGTTAAAAAAAAAAAATTTTTGATAGAGATGGCTGAAAGACCAAATGAAAATATTTTAACCCTCAAACTGTCCACACGTAGATATACATTGACGTGCGGCAGGCTCCGAACGTACGTAGATTACTTTTTTTTTTTTTTTTACATGCTTTCAAATGGGGAAAATCAAGGTCGAAGCGCTGTGCACGTGAATGTAGATCTACGTTTGGACAGTTTAAGGGTTAAAAAACAGAGCCATAATTACTCATCAGTTTGTCATGAGGAACAAAGGTGTTTTTAAAAATCTGTGTAGGTTAATATTATTTGAATATAGGAAGATAAGGGACTTTATACAGCTTAACTATACCCATTGTACTCTATATTACCTGTGAAAATATTATGGTTATTGCAAGTTACTTTTTTGTTTCTTTAAGAGGGTTTCTTTGAAACTAGTAATCCAAAGAATTGTAGCTGTCCTCCTCTTCCTCAAATCAAATCCAATTATCCTCTTCTCTTCCCCTTCATTCCTTAGGCACTGTATAATCCTCATGGTTTGGAGCTTTCCCATGAATATAATAATTCTTGTAACTTTTCTGTTTTGCAGGTATAGTGAGCAGCGAAAACACCTCCTTCGTGGGTTGATGAGTAGAGACATCACAAACCTTGCAAAGTTAAAAGAGACATGGACACAGGAACCAAAATGTAATATTTTGATAAAATTAATTTTTTAACCTACAGTACCATAATAAATTTCATATATTTTGTTTCAGACTATAATGATTTATAGTATGCAGTGAAATTCAAGGAAGTTGGTATAAAATATGCGTGAGGCAATGATTAGGAAAGATTATAAAGCATTTGCACCAGTGTTTCCAGATATTTTTAAATTATGAAAATACTTTAAGTAATTGAACATTTTGTATATAGGTAGTGCATCAAGATTGCCTAGGGTAGGTAATGTTAGTCACTATTTTTTAATGAATTGCTATATGGCTCACACCTTTTCAAGTTACTGCTAAGAATTAGAACAAATATTTGTGAAGAAAGTAGTATTTGGTTAAAATTGTGGATGCAAGACATGAGAGTTTGCTGTGGAGGAAAAAAACTGATAAGATTTGAGATGGGAGTGTTTTGTTTTGGGGAAGGGGGTGATAGTAGTTTGATGAATAAGTGTACAGATTATAGTGGAGCTTGTACATATAATTCCAGTTAATTATCTGTTATAATTTATGGATATTGAATGTTATTTGGCTAGGGATTGGGTCCACAAGGTAAGTTACTCATATAATGAAAATAAAAAATCTTTGTATATAGATCATTTTGGAGATAATTTTTTATTGTTGTTCAATAGCTTTTAGTATCGCACATGAGTGTAGTGTCTTCGGCACACATATACTATAATTTTTTTTCCTTTCTACAGTTCTGCAGTGGGAATACTTGCAGTGGCTACACAACAAGGAAATTAAAGGAGAGGTCATTAGAATATGGCCACCAGTTGCTCGCTGCCCTGAAAGTGATTGGAGTTGAGGACAAGTATAATTAAAATAGAATGTACAAATAATTTAACTTTTATTCAGAAATTATGTGCCTCGGTGGGAGACGACTGATTTGTTGAAAAAAAAAAAAAAAAAAAAATAATATGTATAGACTTGATGTGTATAAGACTTAATATGATGTATTTATATACATAACTTGTGTGTTAATTCATTCTCATTTTTTAAATACTATTATCTTAATGAATCTGGATTTTGTAAATATTATTTATTAATATTGGTTATCATAAAATTTATACTTTTAATTAATTTCCTTGGCAGTATAGAAATAAAACAAAATTTTATTAGTATGTATATATGGCTGTTTAAATAATTTACATAGCATATCACAAGGGTAAAAATTGTATATTACATTACATTCATATTTTATACATTTAGAAAACATGGCAAAAAGTGACATTGGTTATAGAGGAGAGAACAAATTAAGCTTCTGAGCATAAATGACAAGGTACCTGTTTGGCGTTCTGTTTTATTCAAGTTGTATGACCCATGTTGGTTTAGCATTTGCTTTTTAATAATAACAATAGTAATAAAAATGATCTCCATGGGGAAAGGGAGAAAAATCTTTCCTCATAAGCCATGTGTGTTGTAAGAGGCAACTAAAATGCTCAGAGTAAGGGGCTAGTAATTCCTGTATAAATTACTAAATGTAAAAAGAAAACTACGTTTCTTCTAAAAAGAGGAAAGATCTTGCCTTGGTGGGAGATGGCCGTTGTGTTGAAAAATAAAAATGATAATGATAATAACTAAATGTATTATCGGTTGCTGCACAATCCAAGAAAGATTTCCCCAGCTTTCTCTACCTCAGTTTATGCAAAAGGAATAATGCGGTGGTCATAAAATTCTAATGCAGCAAAATGTAAAAATCTTTCTTTCTTTCTTTCAACACACCGGCCATATCCCACCGAGGCAGGGTGACCCAAAAAGAAAAACAAAAGTTTCCCTTTTTAAACTTAGTAATTTATACAGGAGAAGGGGTTACTAGCCCCTTGCTTCCGGCATTTTAGTCACCTCTTACAACACACATGGCTTACGGAGGAAGAATTCTGTTACACTTCCCCATGGAGATAAGAGGAAATAAACAAGAACAAGAACTAGAAAGAAAATAGAAGAAAACCCAGAGGGGTGTGTATATGCTTGTACATGTATGTGTAGTGTGACCTAAGTGTAAGTAGAAGTAGCAAGACATACCTGAAATCTTGCATGTTCATGAGACAGAAAAAAGGACACCAGCAATCCTACCATCATGCAAAACAATTACAGGCTTTCGTTTTACACTCACTTGGCAGGATGGTAGTACCTCCCTGGGCAGTTGCTGTCTACCAAAATATAAAAATATGTGTGTGTGTGTGTGTACACTCACCTATTTGTACTCACCTATTTGTGGTTGCAGGGGTCGAGTCACAGCTCCTGGCCCCGCCTCTTCGCTGATTGCTACTAGGTCCTCTCTCTCCCTGCCCCATGAGCTCTATCATACCTCGCCTTAAAACTATGTATGGTTCCCGCCTTCACTACGTCACTTTCTAGGCTATTCCACGGCCTGACTACTCTATGACTGAAGAAATACTTCCTAACATCTCTTTGATTCATCTGAGTCTTCAACTTCCAATTGTGACCTCTTGTGTCTGTGTCCCTTCTCTGGAACATCCCGTCTTTGTCCACCTTGTCTATTCCGCGCAGTATTTTATATGTCGTTATCATGTCTCCCCTGACCCTCCTGTCCTCCAGTGTCGTCAGGCCGATTTCCCTCAACCTTTCTTCGTAGGACAATCCCCGTAGTTCTGGGACTAGTCTTGTTGCAAACCTTTGCACTTTCTCTAATTTCTTGGCGTGCTTGACTAGGTGTGGATTCCAAACTGGTGCTGCATACTCCAGTATGGGCCTGATGTAAATGGTATACAGAGTCTTAAACGAATCTTTACTGAGGTATCGGAATGCTATCCGTAGGTTTGCCAGGCGCCCGTATGCTGCAGCAGTTATCTGATTGATATGCGCCTCAGGAGATATGCTCGGTGTTATACTCGCCCCCAGATTTTTTTCTTTGAGTGAGGTTTGCAGTCTTTGGCCATCTAAACTATATTGTGTCTGTGGTCTTCTTTGCCCTTCCCCAATCTTCATGACTTTGCATTTGGCAGGGTTAAATTCAAGGAGCCAGTTGCTGGACCAGGCTTGCAGCCTGTCCAGGTCTCTTTGTAGTCCTGCCTGATCCTCATCCGATTTGATTCTTCTCATTAACTTTGCATCATCTGCAAACAAGGACACTTCTGAGTCTATCCCTTCCGTTATGTCGTTCACATATACCAAGAACAGCACAGGTCCTAGGACTGACCCCTGTGGAACCCCGCTTGTCACAGGCGCCCACTCTGACACCTCGTCGCGTACCATGACTTGTTGTTGCCTCCCTGTCAGGTATTCTCTGATCCATTGCATTGTGTGTGTGTGTGTGTGTGTGTGTGTGTGTGTGTGTGTGTGTGTGTGTATTTTTGCTCACCTGTATTTTTAATATCCTGGTATTAAAAATTTTTAATTCTCAGGTATTAAAAAATTATAATACACATACTTGAAAATTAGAAATTTGATACCCATTAAAAACTTTTGATACTCGTGTATTAAAAATTTGATACTCAGATATTAAAAATTTTAATGTCCAAATATTAAAAATTTTTAATACTGTACCCTGGCATATACGTAAAATTTTTAATACCCAGAAAATTAGAAATTTTAATTCCAAGGTATTAAGAATTTTTAATTCTACAAGATTGTTTTAAAGAACCTCTTTTGACCGGCATCTCGGTTTTAGGTATTTTTAATACTTGGGCATTAAAAAAATCTTAATACCCAGGCATTGAGATTTTTAATATCTTGATATTAAGAATTTTAACCCTTTCAGGGTCCGTCCCGTAGATCTACGGCTTTACGTTCAGGGTCCAAACCGTAGATCTACGCCATGAGCTCAGCTCACTCTGATAAACTGTGAGTGGTACATTTGGGCCTAGATATGAGAGAATACATCTATGTGGTATGTGTGCACCACATAAAACAGATCCTGCAGCACACTGTGTATAATGAGAGAAAAAAAATGAAATCATGATTTTTCGATTAAAACAGCAACTTTGCAGTGTTTTTTCGTATGTTTTTTATAGTTGTATTTGCGATTTCTTGGTCTCATTTGATAGAATGGAAGACATATTACAGAAATAGAGATGATTTTGATTGGTTTTAGCACTAGAAATGGCTTGAAACTGAGCTCAAAGTAGCAGAAATGTTAAATTTTTGCCGATATTCAAGAGTAAACAAACGACCTCACACGTCTAATACACATCAGCTGGTGGGTCTAATATACATTCACAAATATGGTGATGATATTTATACAATTATTACAGTATTGCATAACAGCAAATCTTCTATTTTTTGTGTGAATAAAAATTCATTATGTGAATAAAAAATCAAAATGGAATTTATTTGTAAAGCCTCAAAACATAACTAATGAACAGAGGAAATGTTAGTTTAGTGCCAGGAATGCCTACATTGTTCATTCTGGACCCTATTTTGAAATTGAATAATTTTGAACTTTGTGTTAAATTGGCCAAATTAACAATTTCCGATCACTTTATTTTGTAGTTGAAACAGTTGACTTGGCGATTTCTTGTGCTCAATCGATAGAATAGAAGTAATACTAGTGAAATAGCTAAGAATTTGGTTGACTGGAATAATGTAATTGGCCTAAAATGGGAGTCAAAGTCGGCAAAATCGCCGATTCGTAAATATCGCTGACACATCAAAATTCGCGAGAGCATAATTTCGTCAATTTTCCACCAAATTTCGTACTTTTTGTTTTATTACCTTCACAAAAAGATTCTCTACGATTTCATAAGAAAAAATAACAAATGTTTTTTTGAAAATTCTTGGACACTGGTGCGTGACTCCAGATTTGGGCCTTGGACCCTGAAAGGGTTAATGCCTTGGTATTAAGATTTTTAATATCCGGATATTAAAAATACCTTAAATTGTGATGCTGGTCAAAAGAGGATCTTTAATAAATTTTTGGAATTTTTTTTTTAACATCCCAGCAGTCTCCCATCGAGACAGGGTAACCCAAAAAAGAAAGAAACTCTTTCACCATCATTCACACATAATCACTGTCTTTGCAGAGGCTCCCAGATATAATGGTTTAGATGTCACTCCAAACAGCCAGTATTCCAAACACTTCCTTTAACCCTTTCAGGGTTTCCGATGTACTAGTACGAGTAAATTCTAGCGCCTTCAAATTTAGCAAAAGCTGGTAGGCCTACATATGAAAGAATGGGTCTATGTGGTCAGTGTACACAGTATAAAAAAAGAAGCTGGTAGGCCTACATATGAAAGAATGGGTCTATGTGGTCAGTGTACACAGTATAAAAAAAGAAGCTGGTAGGCTTACATATGAAAGAATGGGTCTATGTGGTCAGTGTGCACAGTATAAAAAAAATCCTGCAGCACACAGTGCATAATGAGGAAAAAAATAAACTTTGACCATGTTTTTGGTTTAACCCTTTGACTGTTTCCGACGTATAAATACGTCTTACGAGCCAATGTTTCTGACGTATTTATACGCACAAATTCTAGCAGCTTCAAATCAAGCGGGAAAGACCTGGTAGGCCTACATGAGAGAGAATGGGTCTCAATGGTCGGTGTGCACCCTGTGAAAAAAATCTGGGACCCAGCGGTGCATTGTGGGAACGCCATCTTGTTAGTCCATTTTCACCATGCCTCTCGGTAAGAAGTTCCTCACTCCTCGGTGGATTGGAGGTCTTTTGTTCCCAAGTGATAGCTCTAACAGCGATGAAAATGTCAGTGACAGTGAATTCCAGGGTTTTGAAGTGAGTGTTACCGGAAAAAGTGCCCAGGATAACGTAATTAGTGATGAAAACCCAGATGACCCACAACCTTCCACCTCTGGGGCGGGCTGGCTTTTTCACGTTCACTTCCCCCTTTTACCGGGGACGAAAGGGGAAACTATTTGGTCTTTACAAACCCAGTGTTACAGTGAAGTAGAGTGAAGATAGTGATTTCAAGGTCATTGAAACATTCAGTGACAGTGGGGTGAATTTTCCCCAGTGAAGCGCAGAGTACACGTAGCATGGGTCTGGATGTTTTTATATTTGTTCCAAGGGAAGAGAAACTCTGGGAGCACATCCCGTGGCCCTACACAGACCTGATAGTGAAGATGAGATATTGTTACGAGGGGTATAA